TCAAAAATTTTAGTTATTTTTAAATTGTATTCCTAATTGAAATCTTATTTTTCTTTTTCTAATTTTAGAATTTTTTTTAAAAAAATTATTTAATACTGTATTGTGTTATTTTAATGTTTTTATTTTTTATTTTCAATTTCAGTTGTTTCAAAATTTTAGTCCTACTTGAACTCTCTTTTATTGTTTTCTAACTTTGGATATTATTTTATTTTTTATTCTAAATTTTAATTAATCTCGTATTGGGTTCTTATATGGATTCTTTTTTCAGTATGCTTATTTTTAATTCGGAATTTCAGCTAATTTTAAATTGTATTCCTACTTGAACTCTTCTTTTATTTTCTTTTTTTAATTTTAGATTTATTTATTTTTATTCTGAATTTTACTTAATCTCGTATTGGGTTCTTATATGGACTCTTCTTTTAATATTCCTTATTTTTAATTCCGAATTTTAGCTATTTTTAAATTGTATTTCTACTTGAACTCTTATTTCCTTTTCTAATTTTGGATTTTATTTTATTTTTATTTTGAATTTTGATTAATCTCGTATTGGGTTCTTATATGGAAACTTCTTTCAATATTGCTTATTTTTAATTCCGAATTTCAGCTATTTTAAATTGTATTTCTATTTGGACTCTCCTTTCCTTTTCTAATTTTGGATTTTATTTTATTTTTATTTCGAATTTTGATTAATCACGTATTGGGTTCCTATATGGACTCCTCTTTCCATATTGCATATTTTTAATTCCGAATTTCAGCTATTTTTAATTGTATTTCTACTTTGACTCTTCTTTTCTTTTTCTCCGATTAATGTGGGAATTTCTAGCCCCCACGGTGAACGTGGTGCCTTTGTTTCGAGCTGTATTAATAATATAATAGATCGCTGGATTGAAGCATTCCGCTGTCAGGCTGAGCTCTGCGACATGCCAACAGTTTGCTGAACTGAACTGACGAAGCAACGCCATACTGCCATTCCTAATCTGTGGTGGTCACCTGTAGATTCTACGGATGAAGGGAAAACGGGAAGATACCCACGCCCCACCCCCCAAAAGAAGGAAAGAGAAAACTACCCGTGCACTGTTTTGTCATTTTTTATCTGATTGATGGAAAACATCAGACAACATCATCGCATGGCAGCTAACAAACAACAGTAGACAGTAGTAGTTCCCATACTATCTACCTTCACTTCCATTTTACCCTCCCATCTTTCACCAAAGCTCAGGCTTATAGCTCAACTTTCTGAGATTCACCGTCCCCCACCCTTGTCAGTTGTCACTGCCCAATGCAGACACACACTCTTAAATCATTAGGAGCTGAAAGTGAGGTGACAGACCACACCCCCCAACTTGCAGCAATGCCTGCTTGCCACCACATGGCGCCCTCCTTGTTTGTTTGTTTGTATGGCAGCAAATGAATCATCCACACACACAGACACACAAACTTTTCCAGGGCCCAGGCCATCGGCATGGGCGCATGGCCAGCTCAAGCTACTGGGGCTGCATCTGCATGACAGCATGAGAGAGTCTGCAGGTGAACACTACACACACGCACACACAACTAGAGCTAGATGATGAGAGCCCAGCCAGCCATATGTGCTGGGTTCATCGATGTACCCAGGTTGCAGGGGATGGTGGAATGCCCTGGCATCGTGCTATTATCTTTGCCCAGCCTGCCTGCCTGCCTGCCTGCGCGCCATTTTCCTTTTCTTTATGCGAGTGATGGTGTTTTGTCTGTGGCGATGGGGTGGGGGAGAGTGGACAAGTGCTAGAGTCTGAATCTGTGGGTGCAATTTGCACTTTGCCGGTTTTTTCTATGGTTTCTGAGTCTGGGGCAAAGGCCATGCCGCCAATGCGTATATTATCCATCCGGCAAGAGGGTGCGTTTACTGTTGGAGATTAAGAATTCTAGGGTCTAGTGAAAACCACATGACCTCACAAATTTTCAGGCTTAACCTATAACTGAACTAAATTACTCAGGATACAGTAGAATGGCTTGGGCAGCAAACCTGATACATACTCCCTCCTATTATGGTTAAAAACGGTCGCGGAAATTCCCAACAAATTGACGCTCGTTTCTGATTTCTACAAATCATATGGGAAATGGTAAACGCTGAAAACAGAAATGAAACTGGCAAGAAAAATGATAAATGGAAACGGTTTTGTTGTTCTACCAACCGCTTCTTATTTTATTGTATTTATTATGTGGAAATTACCATCTTTATAATACATTACTCATCGTATTTATAAATTCTATTCTAGGTTAGCTTTTTTTTGGGACGGAGGAAGTACATAGTATAAACTAGAATTTATTTGGTTATATGTGATTTTACAGTTCAATGCTTTCGACATTTATTAGCGGTTTTCGATCCATACTAACATGTTTCCATCTGCATAATTAATTTTCAGTACCATTTTTGTTATCGGCTTTACCGTTCTGATTCCGTTTCGGACAAAAATATGGTTGTTGTAGCAGGAGGCACATACCATCCCCTATTCGACCGAAACACTCTCACTCACTGATCAAAGATCCTAATAGACCGAAACACTCTCACCCATTGATCAAAGAGGCTTTTACTTATGGCAAGATCTATACATATGGCAAGGTTTTTTATTTATGGCAAGGTTTTACTTATAACAAGGTTTTTACTTATGACAAGGTTTTTTTTACTTATGACAAGGCTCTTATGGCAAGATTTTACTTATAACAAGGCTTTTACTTATGATAAGGTTTTTACCTATGACAAGGTTTTTACTTATGACAAGGCTTTTATCTATGGCAAGACTTTTACTTATGGTAAATACTTTTGGATCTACTGATACAGTAGAATGGCAAGACTTTTACCAACCAAAGAGGTTTTTGCTTGTGGCAAACACTTCTCGACTTAATATGACAGGTAAATACTAAACGACCGATGTCTAGAAAGAAGCATTTGAAGGTAAGTACTAGTCGATCAGGGCAGATGAAGCTTGAAGGTTACGCCATCGAACTAGGAATATTCCTCAAGAAGATACCATGGGGACTGCTCCAACCACTCTTGCAAGCTGGCACCTGAAGCTTTAGAGACCACACAAATGTACAACTATACCCTTAGGGTTTCTAGCATTATAGGGGTATTGCAGTAACTTCCTGTGCACCCTCAAAGGTAAGATTGTAACTTCACATGTACCTCTGGAACCATATAAGTCGGTCATAATACTGCAACAAGACAAGACATAACTAATAGCAAAATATCATCTCACACATTTTGCATTTCTATTCGAGTTAATTCTCAAGATAGGCGGGGAATTTGTGTTTTACCGTAACCCAAGGTCACGACAATGGTTATGAAAATTGTTAAGTTTGCTTTCCAACCATTTTCATTCCTACCTTTTGTCATAAATATTTGATGCTTGAGATAAGATTTGGTCATTTTTTTTAAATACCAACCACCAATAATTTCTTAAATTTTTAGCTGAAAGTTTAGTATATATAAATTTTCCTCGAAAAGCACTATCTTACTACCATAAACTTATCAGATTCTATAAATTAATTTTGATATAAAATTAATGATCAGAATATTAAAGTTTGATCAAACCTTTTCTAAGCATCAAATATTTATTGAACAAGGGAGTACAGATTGTGTGCATGAAGTGAATTTGTCCTAATTTTGTGGCTAGGTATAATCAACAATTTATGGTGTAACATATATTATATTTGATTTTACATAATTTTTTTATGATTGATTTAAATAGAAAGAGAGCCCACTTATCCACATTTAAGGAGACACTCGTTTGTCTTTGCTAAATAACCTATAATTAATTCATCTCAAGAAATAAGTTATTGCAAGACTACATATGGTTTGAAGAAGGATAAACCTTGTCATTATATTTTAGGATGCATGTTGTAAGTCAAATCTTTATGATATTAGATTTGGTTAACTCGTTTTATTTAGATAAGTTCTCTCATTTGACCACTTTATTGATTTCTAGATAAGCTGCATTAGGCCCAACAAATATGCTGCTTTAAGCTTTCCTACTAAATATAGTACTTTCACCCACACCACAAATTTCGTTCTCCAACGCGACCATTAGAATCAACTCACACCTCAAATTTCCTCCTCCAACACGACCATTAGAATTAACCCTATCTTCAAAGCTTAAAACTCCTACTTTACAGCAACTTTATCTGATCCTGCTCCTGTAAAATAGGTTTTTGAGTTAAAGCATTTACTATCCACTTCATATTTCTTCCTGTGAGTCCTGAGGTAATACAATGTACACTTTGCAAAACAAGACCTAATTTATTAAAAAAATATCTTTTATTAGCTTATACATATATTAATTTCTTATAATTTTTACCATCGTTTATATTTTCAAGAGTTTTCATTTGAGTTTTATATATTCTCCATGCTATTCATTCCGTTTCTTAATATATGTCAATTTCAACTTTCCTATTTAAGCTTTGACAATTAGTTGCTTTGAATTGTTAGAGGAAAGCTAAAATATTTAAAGCATATCACACTTTAATAATGTTATTATTTTCTTGTATTTGTAAATATTAAAAGAATACCATTGATTTGATAAATGCTTAAAAAGTAAATAGTTACGGCTGTCAATTATGAAATGAATCGGAGAGAATATCAATATTAACTAAACTAATACTAGTATTTTATCATTATCATCTGTGGCGCTGCATCCACTCCTCACCCGCTCACCCTAATCGAAAGTCAGAAACGGCTGTACGTGTAACCCGCAGGGGCAAGGCTTGGTCAGGAGGCCGACATCGACGCGGATCCGGTCAAAATCCCAAAGCGACGGTCGCGAAGCCATCCACGCGGCACCATCGGACGGCTCTCGCGCCCCCATATCCTCCGCCGCCGCCTGCTTTATTTAGCATCCCGCGAGCTCTCCTCTCCTCCTCTTCCCTCCTCTCGCCTCCAAATCCTCTCTTCCTCTTCACACACAGGCGTTGCCGCAGAGACAGCGAGCGAGCGAGAGAGCGCGAGGCGGAGGTGAGTGACGACCATGCAGGCGGTGGTGGCGAACGGCGGCGGCGGGGACGTGGTGCAGAAGCCGCAGCAGGTGGTGGCGGCGCCGCCGCCGCCCCAGGCGGCGCTGCCGCCGCCGCCTCATTGGGTGGCCATGCCGTTCGCGCCCCCGGGGGCGGCGGCCATGGTAATGCAGCACCAGATGGCGCCGGCGCCGCCCCAGTTCGCCCCGCACTTCGTGCCGTTCCACGCGGTCGGCCCGCCGCCGCCGCCGCAGCCGCGGGCGGCGCCGCCGCCCGTGGCCGTGGCGATGGGCTCCCCGGCGCCGCACGCGCAGGGCGGCGGCGGCGGGCAGGAGGAGAACAAGACCATCTGGGTCGGCGACCTCCACTACTGGATGGACGAGAACTACCTCCACAGCTGCTTCGGCTACACCGGCGAGGTGAGTGAGATTGAGAGCACGCCACGCCTTTTACCCAAAAAAAGTACAGATCTTGGCCACGGCCTTGCCATCCCCAACCCAAACCTACGAAAAAAATCGTTTCTTTTCGTCACCTGACTCATCTTTCCTCGTCTTGATGTGACAAGCCAGTGGAACGAATGTGTACGTGCTTATCCATCTCTACATTAACTAAAAAAATGTCATTTTGATGTGCTGCTAAGTTTCCTTTCCAAAATGTGATCCATTTCTTGGGTTGCGCGAGGTAGGAGAGAGAGAGAGAGGGGGGGGGGGGGGGGGATCTTAAAAACAAGCTAGGTGCGGTGCAGTGAGAGCAGCAGAGATGGGTACAAATGATTGGGTCACAGTGCTGAAAAAGGGAAATGGCTTAGCAGTTTGTAGCAACCGCTGGGCAAACGGAAGGCATGGATCTGCGAGCTGGAACTGGGACTTGCAGTGCAGTGGCCTCGTTTCGTTTCATCAGATTGGCTGCGCCGATATGCCCGTCCTTCCTTCCTGTACTGGCGATGGGAAATGTTCGTTTGTTCGTATGTTCGGCCTGATGTGCCAGGTTGGTGGGTAGCGTCATCCTTGGTGTGTACGGTGTACCATTGCCGTCCATCTGTTGCATCTCTCATTGGTCGACTAATTTTAGGCTTGTGCTGTGTTTAGGAGATGGACGGTTTGAAGGTTTCTTGTTTCTTTTTCTTTCATATAATGATATAGGGAATGTTTTCTTTACGTACGCGGATACTAAGGAGCTGATGGCCACATAAATAGTTCCACAACTTTTGGTGAACCGGTGTTTATATAAGGAAGGTGTAATACTCTTTTTCATTATCTAAAAAGATGTTGGTGGACACAAACAAAACGAGAAAATAATAGTGATAAATGATGTTTCCAAACACCAGATTGATTCTAATTAGGACTTTACAGTTTGTACTGAAGATGTGACCTCTCCTTTAGTTGTTTTTTATGGAGTTTCTGTTTGTAGCGGTACACTAGCTTTTCCTGTTCCCTTCTATGCTAGTTTTTAGGAGGCTGAACATACAAAAAGTTCGTTCATAAGGTTTCATAATTTGCTACATTCATTGTATTCAATGACAATATGGAGCATCATGCTCCTCTTAGTATATTGAAGAAATTAAAAGTCTTATGCTTTTATAGCATTTTTTAGCATGTCAATCAGTTGGATGAGTATACAGGTTAGTGTGCCTAATTAACCGGAAAGTGTCATTTGATGCAATTCTACGCCTTCTGTTCTTATTTTGACATTGCAAGTTCAAGCTCATAGGTTTGAATATGTTTCAGGTTGTAGCAATAAAGGTTATTCGTAATAAGCAAACTGGACAATCGGAGGGTTATGGATTTGTAGAGTTCTACAGTCATGCTGCTGCTGAGAAAGTACTTGAAGGATTTGCTGGTCATATAATGCCAAACACTGACCAACCTTTTAGGATAAATTGGGCATCATTTAGCATGGGGGACAGACGTTCAGATATTGCTTCAGATCATTCCATATTTGTAGGCGACCTTGCTTCTGATGTCAATGATACCACATTACTAGAGACTTTCTCCAAAAGGTACTCCTCTGTCAAAGGTGCGAAAGTTGTTATTGATGCTAATACTGGTAGATCAAAGGGCTATGGTTTTGTGAGATTTGGAGATGATAACGAGAAGACACATGCCATGACTGAGATGAATGGTGTGTATTGCTCTACCAGGCCAATGAGAATTGGCCCTGCAACTCCCAGAAAAACCTCAGGTTCAATCACAAGTATCTAATTCAGTTCTTTTTTGGGGTCAACACTAGTACATTCATACCAAGCATTATTTGTTTAATAGATCCTTAATTTCAACGCTAGTACCCCTAAATTTGCGAGTCTTTCTGTCCATTAATGTAGTATAGCAGAAGATAGTATGGACTCTCTTTTTTTTTTTGAAGATATGGACTCTATAAATTTGCTGTCATGTACTATGGTTTCCTGTCACTGTTCACTCTCTAATTTTGTTAGCATTTTCCCCTTCCTTTTAAATTTCTCTTGTACTCTTTTTCAAAAAGAAAAATGTATATTTATTTAATTATTTTCATTCAGACTTTAGTTGTATTATCTTGAATTGTTCATCAATCTTGCAGCATCCCATATTTTACTTTTGCTCATATCTCCCTAATTTTTTTTAGGAATATAGTATCCTTCTCCATGCTTCTGAGTACATCATTTGAGTTAGTAATTGATGGTCTTTGGTGTTTGATGTCATTATTGTGTATATCATTTTTGCAATCTTCCGGTTTCATCTATAAGGTCCTACAATGCCTTTCCAACAAAATGCTACTTTCCCTGCATTTTCCCTTCAGAAGAACAATGAACAACACAATTTTAGTCTTTTCACACCTTGGAAATATTTTTATATTATTTTACCTAATTGTAATTTTGGATGAACATCGGACATGCTTGATATCTGTTAATTGTCGCAGATATTTTCAGATTTAACCTCGTGCTCGATTCATATATTATTCTTTTTAGAATACAGGGATTGGTTTTGAAAATCTGAGATAATTTAATATACCAAACCTGAGAATGATAGTGCATTATTGCCTTATAGAGTGAACAGTGGATGGGATAAAACTTGCTTTGACAATCTTATACAGGTGTTCCTATTAAGACACTTAATTCCTATTTTCTAACTATGTTTCTCGGTATAGGTACTTCTGGACCTACTGGTTCAGCTGCTCGATCAGATGGAGATTTGACAAACACAACTGTGAGTACAGATGTATTTACCCATAAAGTCTTATGTGTATACGAATTTTTCCTTCTATAACCGTCCAGTAACTTATTGTAGGTATTTGTCGGTGGGCTTGATCCAAATGTTAGTGAAGATGACCTTAGGCAAACATTTTCGCAATACGGTGAAATTTCATCGGTAAAGATCCCAGTTGGGAAACAGTGCGGCTTTGTGCAGTTTGTTCAGAGGTAATTTCAACCCATATTTGTTTTCTAAGGGTAAATTTCCTCTGTTCCTGTCCCATTGACAAGATCTGATTAACATTGTCAATGTGTTCCTTTTTCCAGGAAGAATGCGGAAGATGCATTGCAAGGACTGAACGGAAGCACCATTGGGAAACAGACCGTGCGTCTTTCGTGGGGACGCAATCCAGCAAACAAGCAGGTACAATCTTCCCCCTTGCTACATTTCCACCAGAGGAACTGTAAAATTGTGCAGTAAACATAGGCAAAAGGACCTGAGACTCCATTTCTTGACCATGTACAGTTGAGGAGTGACAATGGCAGTCAGTGGAACAACGGGATGTACTACGCAGCCTCGCCGTTTTACAGTGGATACGGCTACCCTGCACCGTTCCCTGCTGATCCGGGCATGTACGCTGCTGCTTATGGCGCCTACCCGTTCTACGGAAACCAACAACAAGTGAGCTAAGAGGTCACTTGTGCTTCACCTCAAACTGGAGCTAGGCACGCAAGCATTAGCAGTAGCTCTTGCTAGAAGAAAAAAAGAACAAGGTAGACGACGGTTTCCTAGGTCAGCTAGATGCAGTCACTGGTTATGTAAAGTACATTACTACACGAACTAGCTAGCGCCACTAAGCCGCCCTATTGACTGGCCATGGTCTGCTGAACTCTTCTTCCAGAAAAGAAGTTTTGACCTGGAGCTGCACCTTATTGAAGTAGAACAATAAACTATTCAAATACCTACTGTGCGCTATCTGATCTTTTTTTTTTCCCTTGTCCTCTTTTTTTTACATTGAGTTAGCTCGCTTTGTAGGTTTGGGGGTTTAGAATACCGGTTTGACTGAAATTACTGGATAAAAATTTTAATCCAAAATTTAATTTTTTTATTAGTAATCAAATCTTACTGTCCAAAAATAACTCTATATTTAAATTTTTGTTTCAATTCATATTTCTTAAGCAGAAACTGCACCACCAGTCCATGGTCCAGTTACACCGGTTTTTGAAACCCTAATATGGTTTCGGTTATCCAAAAAAGCATGTTTTTTTTAGGATAACATAGTCAACTTTATTAACCAAGACAGAGTTCAGGGCATAGAGCCCATACATCACAAAAGGATACAGAGTAAAGTAAGCAACCATCTCTAACAGAGAAGAGACCAAGCAGTCTAAGGAAGCAAACTTCCAGTAGATACTAAACAGCAGTGGAGAATCAGATCGACAGAGTTCTACGGCAAAGCCGTGACGACTGAATCCTTGGGCCTCCATTGATATGCTCACCGTTTGACAGACCGGAAAGCTTTACCACAGAAATGGCACAAATTGGAGGTAAGTTGCTGAGCCGTAGATTTTGGTGTAGGCATCATCGGACTCAACACAATGATTCCACGGAGTCTCCCATTAGATCTGAGGAGCAGGAAGTGCTCAACTCGAACGGTAGACCCTGTATGGATACTGCTATTTTGAAACCAAAGGAAGTAAGATTTCAAAGAACAGGTAGCCAACATCACAGGAAAATTCAGATGGGTGCAATAGAACATCTGTCTTTGCAGAAGGCCAAGGATTGCTGAAGATTTGTAAAAGCAGTGAGAGCCCAAATTCAGACAGAAACTGGAGTATGACGCAGCAAATTGAGAGGAGCAAGCTGTGAACAAAGAAGAGATTCAGATCGGAAAAAGAAGACACCATGGGAGATTTTCACCGTCAAATGAAGGCAGTAGCTGGAGGCAACAACAAAGGTTTCATGTCCATCTACGCCACCACACAGAGCAACACCACTGCACAGAGCACCCAGGCTCCTGCTACTACGGGCGCTGCCGCACGGTGCGATGCCGCTCAAAGCTCCAAGGTTGTCGTTACCTTCACACTGCTTGTAACCAGCAGCAGCCCCAAAAGAAGTCTCCATCCATTGATTCATTAGCAGACCTTCAAATCTCTCAGCTCCACCTCCAGAAACCATCACCGCCGCCATCCACGCTCTGGCAACCCAGGCCCTTCGCCGATAAGACATTACACTGGACATGCCTAGAATAACAGGAAAAAAACCTGACAAAACTACAACCTATCTACTCTATACCTTTTGCATGTCTTATTTAATGTCTTATTGCGAAACTGAAAAACCTGACATTACTCTTATTGCATGTCGATCTGCAATAAGCTGGAACGGTTCACAATGTCAATGAACTTTGTAAATTTTGAGCATCTCGAGCTAACTTGCAATGTGCATCTCGAACGGTTTCTATTAAGTAGTCATTAAATTTCAAGCGAAATTCGTTCTGAGATGAATGAAAAATCGACGTCTCAGTGAGATTGTGCCTTGGGGGGAGCAATATGCAGATAGGTGACCTGAGAGGTGATACTTCTGAGCCCGCTCCTGCAAACACTTCGCCGCTGCCAACGACACTCTCCTCCACCACCACCTCTCTCAGCAAACTTCCTACCTCTTCTTCTCTTACCCTAGCCCCCTCCCCCTAATTGTCAAATCTGGGGGCTTGAGACTAGCACATGAGATTGGCATGAGCGGGTTGTGGCGGCGAAGGTGACGTCCAGAGCAACGACAATCACCGTCGATCACTCAAAAACAGCTACATGCACTTGCGAATGAGATCGACGGTTTTGGGGCTAGATCTGTGCCAAATTATGTCGGTTGTAGCTTAAGGGTGCAATGGATAGTTGTGGTGGTGTGTAAGGGAGCTTGGTGATTGATAAAGGGCACACAACTATGTGTTGGATATGGTTGGCACAATGCCCATTTCAGATGATTTGGCTCCCTCGTGTGAAAGGACGATGGGTGGGGCTTGTCCTCCACCTCTAGGATGTTTTCCACCCCAACCAACACCATCCTCCCCGTCGCCACCATCTTTAGTGGCTACCTCTTCCATATGCCTCCTCTCATATCCGCTTTTAGCTCCCAAATATATTTGTCTCCCAGGCGATGTCTCCATGTACCCTCTTATCTGCCCCTACCCCTCTCCTCTTTGTTTTTCTCTTACGATCACAGAACCATGCTTGATGCACCTCTCGCTGCCATTGAACCCCCAGCAACACATTCCGTTTCGCTCTTTCCTTTCATCCATTTTACATCGATGTTGTGCCGATGCTAGCATGCCTCCATCGTTCTTAGCCTTGCTTCAACCACCTTGGCCCCGTCCTATTGTCTAGGAGTATGCCTAGTTCGTGTAGCCGTGTTCCCTCTTTTGGATTCACTCAATTTGATATGCTTCTTGTTCAATAGCTTGGTTATCCATGTCTTATGAAAAAGGATAGGCGAAAGTTATAATATTTCTCTTTATTCGAATATTTTATCATAGATTAATTCAGCCGAGCATTGACCCAGTCACCCAACGCTTAAATCCGCCCCCCCTTAGGCTAAACGGTAACTACTAAACTGGCCTGGAATGACCAGACACGTCCCGAGATTAGTTGAGTTGTGCCAGGCTGGCCGAAGGCACGATAAGCCCACCGTGCTCCTCCTTGTAATAAGTCTATTTTGCCTCAATTATCTCTTTGGGCCATGTCTTATATGGCTGGAAATAAGTTTATTTTGCGTCCCTCATCTCTTTGGCCGTGTCTTATATGGTTAAAATAAGTCTACCTTGCGTCTGTCATCTATTTTGCCTCTATGAATGTTGGAGCGGCCCATGCCGAGCCAACACATCGTGCGAAGGAAGAGACCCAGACACAGTCGGGCTGAGCCTGCATGGACCCGACAACAGCCAGGGCATGCCGTGTTTGGGCTGGGCCAAATCTCCGTGCCGTGGACCGGGTCGTTGGGTTTGGCCATCTATACACCGGCCCAGGGGCCAGGGCTAGACGATGTTCGCCATAGCAAGGCCATTTCCAGATCTCCACCCCAACCAACTAGCGGCGACAAAGGTACCTACCATCACCACTCTCGTTGCCGGCGTGCCGCGCATGGAGCAGGGCGGAGATTCTATAAACCCCGTGAATCGCAGGAAGCCCGGAACACTGGCGAAGTCCAGGGATTTCCCAACTTTCATCAAGACTCAATAGTCCTGAAACTGTTTTCAGGCAAGAAGAATCAACATTTTGGATTCACGTATTTCATACAGGAATGCTGCATACATCACACGACAAAAATTTACTGCTGTTTGACATAAGGCGGGAGTGCTCCCCTCAGGAAGGAGCTGACAACGATGAGTGCTTTCTCAGGCTGGAAGTAAGGGACCTGATGGCCAGCTCCCCTTACGGAGATGAACACTAGCCCACCCGTGTATTGCTGAACATACCCTCCAACCTGACGCGAAAAGGACATATTTTTCTTTCAGTCAGAACAGAACAGGGGAGATTATAATTTCTGAATTTGTGCTCATGTTCGTATTACCTCTCTGTTTGCTGTCCATGGGCGCCATGGTTCAGTGACGGCGAGGCCGAGGTCACCGACGGAGTACCTCGTGGCTGTGAGCGGGCACACGGAGTCGAGGTCGCCGCTGGAAAAAAGGTTGAGTACTTGTCACAACTCCCAAGCTTGCATTTTGGTATATATGAGAAATTTTGTGGTTTTTGAGAAAGTACCCTGAGGTAATTAGACTTTGCACTAAAAATTCGGTATCTGGAGGTATCTAGTATTTAGAGTTACTAAATTTTATAATAGAAAATATAGTATCTCTTGTTATCTTTTTAAGGATGGTAAAATTACCTTAGAAATATAGTACTAGTTACAGTTCGATTTGAATATTTGCCACAAGCTTGCATTTTGGCAGATATGTACTTCCTCCGTTTCATATTATAAGACTTTCTAACATTGTTCACATTCATATATATGTTAATGAATCTAAATATATGTGTGTGTCTAGATTCATTAACATCTATATGAATATGAACAATGCTAGAAAGTCTTATAACCTGAAATGGAGGGAGTATTAGTTAGTCTGGTTTGAGTATTTGTTAGTTGTCAGTTGTCACAAGCTTGCATTTCGGCAGAAATGTAGTGGTTACAGTTTGATCTGAGACATGAAGCAATCTTACCTATACAACCACACTGGCAATCCGTGTTCCATCAACCATTTGAGCGTTGGCACCATGGACACTGGTGCATCTTTCCAGTGCAAGTTTCTAAGCTCAGTTCAAGAAGAAATTGTTAAAGTGGATGCATACTGTTAGCTCATTAGTACTCTGCTCAGAGATCTCACTTGCAGCCTAACCACGTTGTCACTCTAGCATGGAGAGCCTTCTGTACCACGGGATTGTTAAGGTAAGCGTGGATGTAGTAGTTGCTGCATGGATCATAGCCTGGCACCTGCACAATTTAGAAACAGAAACAATTTTCAGAACACACACAAAAGACTCGAGCAAATAGTACTCCATGGAGGAGGTGACCCTTTGTATCTCTTACAATGCGGCTGGGGAAGAATTTTCCGTCGGGTGCGTTGATGCAAACCGGTCCGTATATGTCGTAGGGATCGGTGTTACCAGAATCAAATGCGTCCATAGCATCAGAGCATGCTTTACCGTCTGACGGACTGAACCTGCAGTTCTTGGTGATGTTGGCCAGCACCTCATCTGATATCACCCCATGACTCCACAAGTAGTCAATTTGCCCCTTCAGGTTCTTGAACTCGTCAAGGCAAGGGTTGCCAACCTGAACAAGTAGAGGCATACTTAGTGCTAAACTGCTAACCATGACAAAATGTTTGAAAAAGTTCAGTTTTAACATTGCAAAATGATCGAAATGGAAAGGAGGACGACGCCTGGGTTCAAGATCTGGCTTTGGAATCCCACTCTCCTATTACAGTACACCTCGTCGAACAACTAGTCGCCCTATGGAAAGCGGTCCGGAATATTCACTTAGACACTGGAGAACCGGACCAGATTACCTGGAAATTCACAAGCAGTGGACGCTACACGGCCTCCTCGGCCTACCATGCGCAATGCCAAGGAACGCCGAGCACAAGCTTCAACTCCTTAATCTGGAAAGTCTGGGCACCGGGGAAATGTAAATTTCATGCTTGGCTCATCATCCAAAATAGAGTCTGGACTTCAGATCGACTTGCGACCAGGGGTTGGCAAAACAACGGATGTTGTCCTCTGTGCCGCTGTGAGGCTGAGACGGCGCTGCACCTCGTTGCCACTTGTAGATACACTAAAAGGATGTGGGGCCTTGTTGCTGGATGGGTGGGATATCAGCAAATTGAGCCGGCTCAATGGGAGGAGGCACAGTCAGTACAACAGTGGTGGGAGAACATCGCAAACACGCCAAATGTTCCGAAGAAAGGACTCCGATCACTCATCCTTCTAGTTGTATGGGAAATCTGGAAGGAGAGAAATCGGCGAATCTTTGACCACAAAGAGGTGGCAACGAGTTTCCTCCTGTCAAAAATCAAAGAAGAGGCTAGCCTTTGGGCTTTAGCAGGGGCTAAGCGGCTGCGCGAGTTAATCCCGCACTATGTATAGTGTATAGCTACAGTTTCTCGATTTTTTCCTGTTGCCCCTAGGGGTTGTATTTTCTCCCGCTCTATTCAATGAAAAGGCACTCTAGTGCTATTTTCTGTTAAAAAAAAACAATGCAAAATGTTTCAGTCTCTGAATTTCACGCACCAGTATACCCTGTAGGTTTATGATCATTCTCTTGCTCTCCATGTTGTGAGTCAGGATGGTGGCTGCAAGCTGTGGAGCGTAGTGTCCAGCATAGCTCTCGCCAGAGATGTAGAAGGCACGTCCTTTGTACTCCGGGAACCTCTCAAGCCAATTGACTAGGAAGATGTACGAGTCATTGGCTGTTCTTTGGTCGCCGCTCTTGTCGTAGTCAGAAGATGTGTTGGAGTAAGAAAATCCCACACCAGCAGGCGATTCCAGGAAGAGCACATTAGCCACTGAAAAAATTTCGGCAAAGTGAAACTAGTACTCTGAAACTAATTTCCTCATGCAACGGCAGTTTAATCATAATCATATATATGCTGCTTGCGCAAATTTTTGTGTGTGCACACATTATAAGAGGTCTACAGGCATGGATTCTCTTGAAAAGAACTGTAAAGAGCATAAGTGCAAAATGCTTAGAAAACACATACTACTAAAACTGTGAGTATTTTTTCGGTGATCTTTACTATTAATATTCTCCTATTTGTATTATCATTAGTAGAAGCGATCTTATTATCATTTGTATAAGCGATCTAAGTCATTGATTTATGACTTCTACTACTAAGTAGGTGGTAGTATAAATTGCAACTGCTATTGCTGTGTCTAACCATTGTTCCAGGCGTACTCATTTCTGCTGAGTGTTTTATTGTCGCTGTTTATCCTGAATGGACCAAGTTCTATCATTGCTCCATAGCCAACTGACGAGCACCCGGGACCTGAACATCAATTAACACAGTTTCAGACAGAGGACGAGCTGTATCAACAGTAAAGTTTCAGGCAGTGCATTGAGAATAATGTAACTATGTATGCCAGTAGAGAGACAGTAGACTAGCCTCCATTGAGCCACAGGAGGAGTGGCTTTGCCGCGGCGTCAGTCGTCGCCTCGACGAAGTAGTAGAAGAGAGCACGGCCGTTCATCTCGTCGACGGTCACGTACCCGCCGTACTGATTGAAGCCGACGCCCTTGGGCTGGCCAGGCAGCGCCGTGATCTTATCGGCGGCCTTCAGATTGCTCTGGTCGGAGACAGAGTACTCTTCTTTGAGTCTACTGCTAACTCTTGCTCCTGGCTCATGTGCACTGTAGCCATTGCTGCCACTGACAGTAACAGTGCTGCTCCTTCTGGATCGCACGAACTCTCTGAATCTGGCCTCTTCTGGCGATCCATTTGCGTGCAATGCTGCCACGCAAATGATGAGAACGAAGCTAAAGGATAGTGTGTTGCTCATCATTTACGATGAAATGGTTTAGTTGCTGTGTTTCTGCCAATGTGAGGGAGATTAGAGTGGTGCTCGATTGCTTATATTGGTCAGGGCCTCAGTTGGTGGAAGGATAATATGCTCAAACTATTAGTATTGGAACCTTGAAGAATTCTTCAGGTTAGTGCTCATTTGAATACTGAGGTCGCCGGCAGTATGTTGTCCAGTTCCTTTTTGTACACAAGCTCGACTCACCTCACGGTTTCATATTCTTGTCTTGTCCTTTTGTTTGCCAAAACAGTTACCCAGAAAGATTCCAATTGGCGTATAGTGTAGCATGCTTAATTAGGATTAGTCATAATATTCAGTTGAAAAAAAAAGATAATCCAATACCATAACAAAGGAAGAAGATCTGCTACCCGCTCTAGATTTTACTCCTATACTTTTTAGAAAATTATTAAACATTGCTTACATAAATCTTTTCCAAAATATATCCACATCTGTGCTATAAACAAAATACAAGTTAAAATAACTCGTGTTTTCTAAGTTTCTATGTGTAACATATTTCAACATTCTCTCTATGTTTTTATTTTTTGCCTTTTTTCTCACTGCAACTTTCATCTATACTCCTTTAAGGCCTTTCACAGTGCATCTATGTAGCATTTAGCCTCAACCATCCAGTAGAAGATTTTCCTCTGAGTTTTACTCCCGTCTGACAGCCTGTACCGGCCGGTACTAGTACCGGGAGGTACAAGATTAAATCTGGCCGTCCATCTTGAAAGGATACGATTGGGAAACAGAAAAGAGAAGCGGAACGATTCCGGAGTCACACCGCCGCTTTTCTCCCTCGCTGTGCTCTTTCTTTCCTCCCTCTCCGCATCGGTTCTTTCTCATCTATTCCTCCATCCGAGCGCAGAAACGGAGCAGTTGCGCCGCATCCATGCCCCACCGGACGATTTTTTCCCATCCATCTGCCGTCTACGATCGCGGTACTGGAAAAAATGGCACGCTCGCCCCGCATCCACGCCTCCGCCGGTGCTGATTTTTTCCCCATCCATCTGCTGTCCGCGGCAGCGAAGCCAACGACGCGCTCCGTCACCAGCAACGCCGCCGCATTCACGAGCGAAGATGTGGTGGTATTCTGTGTCCCCTATCCCTCCCTCAACGGCTCAAGCAAGTACCTAACCTCCTCCGCTGCCATCGGCGCAGCCTAGGCCCCCATTACGGCTCAAACACTACTCCACCATATGGTCTAGTTATTTTGTAACGAACAATTCAATCTACCATGTTTTTTTAATGAATTTGTGAGAAAAGCACAAGCTTTTGCTGGAAACTTTAATCTTTGAATTGAAAATTTTAAGCTCATCTGTCGTCTGTTTTTTTATGCTGTTTACAGGGCATGATCTATCGTTGAATGGAGCTTTTGACTTAATTTTTGTCTGCTGTGAACAGAGCATGATATATATGTCGTATTGAGAGCCATTAATATTTTGTCTGCTGTTTTTGCTCGATCTCCTGTAAAATACATGTCATTCTGTGGAGTGATCAACAGCACAACAATGGTTACAAACAAGTGTTTTCAATGAACAGCAATCCATCTAGAGATGTAAAAGTTGAGGAATCACTGGAGTATAGTGCTAGACACATGGGCAATAATTACTGAGAAAAAGTATAATTTACATGATTCTGAAAGACTAAAACAAACATACTCGTACTAGTGAGTAATTCAGAGTTTCAGACAGTGGGAGATAGATAAACAGAATTCTGCAAATTTTCAGCCAAACAGAACGAACTATAACTTAGCAAGAATCTAAAACTAAAGGATAAGTTAGACAACCCATCTGAAGAAGCTGTAATTTAGAGTTTCAGACAGTGGGAGATAGATAAACAGAATTCACATGGATTGGTTGCTGAGACATCAACATGCTGAGTGATCTCCATCCATTAATTCTAGTAATTGACATGTACAAAATCAACAATGACAAGCATAGTACATATTATCAAATAGCTTCATGAGAAGGAACACAACTACAGCTACTGTTCCTATGAACCAATTTCTAATGTCATCAATATCTTTTTTCTGCTTGGACAACTTCTTGAATGAATTTTCCATGTCTGAAAGCCGGTCAGCCATTTCCAGCTCTAGCTTCATTTTCTCTCTTCTGCCTTCGTTTTCTCAACATAACAGTTGAGTGCTTGAGCTGTGGGCAGTCCTACAGAATAACCAGAGGTTGAAGAAGGATGCCCACCATGAACCACCCGCTACTGAACCACCACGCCCGCCACGAACCACCCGCTGCCGACGCCATCGCCGCCACCACCTCACGGACACGGGCCCAAGCACCAGACACCGCCGCCAACACCACCTCACCACCGCAGCCCACGGACCAGCCACCACCTCCTCGTCGCTTCCCATGGACCACCTACTCGCCGCCTCCCACGCCGCCGCCGCCTCCCACGAATCAGCTGTCGCCGCTGCCGCCTACGGATCAGCCGCCACCACCTCCCAAGGACCACCTCGCCGCCACCTGTCACGAATCAGAGCTGAATCGAGATGATCCCTACGCGAAAAGACAACATTACCCTTCCACCCCTCTAACTATTCCGATACCATCTCATGGGCAAATATGTACCTGGAGGTACCGCATAATTTCCACCGTCCGATCGAGCTGAATGAACTGCTGAGATTTGGTACCGGGCTGGTACCGTGGTACCTGCTGGATGGGAGCAATCCTCGTTCCTTCAAATACTTCTATCCAACGTGGAATCAACTGTTTCACATGGCCATTCAATTTGCGTAGCTTGCACTGTGAAAGACCTAAAAAACCTCTATTAAAGATGGCAGTGAATCTGTCACACCACTATTACTTTTGCAATTCTATAAATTGTCTCCTGATATTTTCTAATATCATGGAATAGTCCAACATTTGGTTCAAATAAGTGAATAACAGATAACCAAATAAGCAAACAAGTCATACTAAAATATTTGATAAAAAAATATATATTGCTATGACATATTATGATATTTTTTTTTCCTTCTGTCAATAGCAAAGTATTGGCGTTTTGCTAGTATTTATAAACTTGATAGCTATATAACCAACTTCAGCTTGAACATCAGAAGGATAAATCTCAACTCCCAACAACTTGCGCATCTTGTATTTCATCTTTGTCCTATTATTCAAGCAACACACTTGCCATCTTTTGCTTGGCTGCCTTCTCATGAATATAGTAACAATCTCAAGATTTAGCATTTGAGCTTGCAAATATTTTAATTATGAAAAGGTTGCCTTTAGAGTTTAAATCAATCTAAGTAAGAGGTAAATATGCACCAATTAGTTCAAAGATTCTTATCCTGCACAAGCCAGAAAATGTAATTCTCTTTATTCAGTCTCCCACTTTGATGGAAACAGCCCCATTACAACTTTTCAGGACATATCTGTAAGCACAAGACTTAACCTGAGTAGGCAACCAAATTTCACCAAATGGAAGTAGAAAGCTGACTGATCATTCGATCAGAAATTCAGAGAACACTGAAAATGCGAATACTCAAATTACTTCGGGATATCAGCAGGTGGGAGCATGCCCTTCAGGAAAGAGTAGAGGAGAACAAGTGATCTCTTAGGCTGGAAAGATGGAACCAGATGTCCAGCTCCCCTCACTGATGCTAGCGTGAATCCTCCTTCGTACTGCTGAACATAGCCTCCAACCTGCAAACACCCCCATTTCATACCAAAAATCACAGATCATGTCTCAGTTCAGACTAATCACACTATTAAGCTTAATTTGCTTCTGCTTGTCCATTACCTCATTATCAGGTGTGTACCAAGGACGCCACTTATGCGTGATAGTCAGATTAAGGTCCTTGACGGAGTACCTTGTCGCAGTAAGTGAGCATATTGAATCCATATCACCACTGAAAAATATATAGAGGGAAACCTTATTAGCAACCATTAAGCCAACTATTATGCAATTCTCAATGTGCTTGGAATAGCATATTGTACCTATAAATCCATACACTTAATCCATTTTCCACCAGCCTTTTGATGGTTCGCACCATGGAATCAGGGGAATCGTTCCAGGCCAAGTCTAGACTGAAAGAAGAATAGAGCGTAAGAGAGGATTGTATGGATCTCAGAGACCTTGAAGGGTAAAATAAATGGGGTCATCCACCATTGAATCATGATTAAAGATTAGTGCAAATCATTGTAGCAGAGCTTATGGCACCTCTCAGTATGAGAGTATCATGTGGTGAATTGGGTGAAAATTTCAGAGGATCTGAACATTAAGTAGGAATACTTACTTGCAACTTAGTCAAAAAAAAAATACTTACTTGCAACCTGACCAGTTCGTGTCAGCTCGTGCGTGCAATGCTTTTTGCACATCGGGATTGTTGAGGTAACGAGGGATGTAGTAGTCGATGCACGGATCATAGCCAGGTAACTGAATCAAAACCAAGATGCAATTCAGTTTTGATGAACACAGCATGGCAGCATTACATTATTTATCTGTTCAATTCTCATGGGGAAAAGCTGATCCTGCAAAAAAGTTATGATCTTACATAGCCGCTGGATCGAAAGGTTCCATCTTGCTCGTGGAGGCAGACCGGAGCGTAGATGTTGTAGCGATCTATGTTCACTCTCTGGAACGAGTGCGCCGCCACGAAGCACGGCCAGTCGTCGGAGGAGGTGAAGGTGCAGTTGGCGAGGATCTTGCCCCAGACCTCGTCGGAGATCACGCCGTGGCTCCACAGGAACTCCAGGTTACCCTCCCCGTTCTTGTACTCATCAAGCAGCGGATTGCCAACCTAGAAGAAGAGATCCACATGGCCAAGTCCAGGGTTATACTTACTATTTCGTCAATTTCAGAAAATTTAAATATTTTTTTACTGAATTCAAATAAATTTTGACAATTCACAAAGAAATGAAAAGATCCGAAAATTCGTGCCAATATAGTTACATGTAGGGAGAGGGGTCCAAAATTTAGGAAATTTCAGACCCTGGTTAAGTCGTTGATTTGTTCTAGGCTTAATTGGATTCATGCCATTACAAATTTTCATGATTAAAAATCTAACGCCACTATTTGTGATTAAAAAAATTGTGATACCAGTTGAGTGTCACTAAAATTTTGTAAAATTCAATCCATGCCATTGTTGTCGAGTTTTTTAGCACCTGACCAAGCCACCATCTTCCATTGTTGTTGCCATCATGGACCACAACTAGACAGCCTTCTCCACCTCGTTTGGCGCCCTTGCTGGCTTGCTGCCATCCACAGAGTAGAAAGGGAAAAAAAATAGCGATGATGACTCGGTGAGGGTGGGGCTTGGCTAGGTGGTGGTGAGGTCAGGACTGATATATCCAGCTTCGATGACATGTGGATGAACGGATATGGTGTCCACGAGATGTGCATGAGCAGCCAGACAGCTACCCACCATCAATGGCGACGATGAGCGAGATCCGGTGTCAACGATGACCGGAGCGAGCCGCCGGCTTCGAAACATCGAGGACATGTGGGATGAGTTGCCACCACCACCACCACCAGACGAGCATTGAGGACGCGTGGTAGCAGCGGATGGAGTGAGCAGAAGCGGTGGGGAGACAAGCGAGGCCGCCGCTCACACATCTTGTCGATTGCCCTATGCACGCCGCTGCTCGCATGCCTTGTCGGTCGCCTCGTATAAGAGAGGAAGAGGGAGAGAGGAGGTGGAGGAGGCAAGAAAAGGAGAAGGTGATGGAGAACTCAATGGTAAAGGCACACCGTTCAAATTTTACAAAACTTCAATTGCACTCAACTAGTATCGCGAATAGTAATTGTAAATTTTCAATCAAGAAAATTTGCAATAACAGAGATCCAAAGTGTGCATTGGTTCAATCGATTGCTAGCATAAGGAGGAATAATAACTCACAAAGATGCCACGGAGGTTGAAGGGGGTATTGCCGTCAAAGAGATGGTTGATAAACGTGACAATGGTGGCGATCTGCGGGACGTAGTGGCCGCCATAACTCTCACCGGCGATGTAGAAGTCACGGCCCTTGTACTCCGGGAACCGATTAAACCAGTTGAGCAGGAAAACATATGTGTCCTCCGCCGTTATTTGGTCACCTACGTCACTGTAGTCGGAGGAGTTCATCGAGTAGGAGAACCCAACACCCGCCGGCGACTCAAGGAAGATCACGTTAGCCACTGCATGATTTCACACGCCACGTCACTCACTGTTGGAACTTTTTAAAACTAAGAAGCTATCTAGAATATTATTTTCTCTGTTTAACAATGTAAGACTTTCAAGTATTGTCCATATTTATATAGATATTAACAAAATCTTACAATATTAAACGGATGGGGTACCAAACTACCAATAGAGAGTACCATAAAAATATTTTTAGCTTTCGCTTACCGTTGTTCCAAGCATGCTTGTTCCTGCTTAGCGTCTTGCCATCGGGGTTAACCCGGAAAGGACCAAGCTCCTTCATCGCGCCGAACCCGAGCGACGAGCAACCAGGCCCTATAAACTCGATTAAAACCACTTGATAGTATCGGTAGAGAGCATCGTAAAAATACTCATTAGCATATCAAGCGTGTATACGTACCTCCGTTGAGCCAGAGGATGAGAGGTTTGGTGGAGGCGTCGTAGGGGGACTCGACGAAGTAGTAGAACAGCTCACGGCCGTTCTTCCTGTCCACCGTCACGTAGCCGGCGAACTGCGCGAAGTTGACGCCGCAAGGCTGGCCGGGCAGCGCGGCGATCCTGTCGTCCTCCTTGGTGCTCTCCGGTGAGCTGACGCTGCGCGTCGCCAGGTGGCTGAATCTGCCGGGATCGGCCCATTGGTCGTCTTCTCCAGGCCCGTTTTTGTTGGGCCTGTTTCTGAGCCTCTTCAAGGCCCTGGACTCCATGAACTTGATGAGCTGATCCTCCTGGGAATGGGACGACGCGTCTGTGACTGATGCGCCTAGTGCTAGGAGGATGATGATTAGGACGGATAATGTGATTTGGTGTCTCATCTTGGTTGGATTGTGAAGAAATTTTGGAAGGTCCTCCGAGGATTTAACAGTTCATATGTGAGTATATATGTGATTAGATGGGGAGAAGAACAAGGAATCGAGGCATTCAACACGGATTCTCCAAAGGAGTTTCCTAGTTTGCATCACTACCACTGAGAGTTCTTGAAATAATCAAGTTCTATAAGCTATTGGCTTTTGTGTGTTTGATATGGTTTTAACGTAAGCCATCTGTTAGTATTAATTAAGAAGTTTGAAATTTGACTGATCTTGATTAGAGAAAAAATAACGGTTGGTTTTGCAGATCCACGTGTGAGGTAGCATTTTCGTTGCTTCCTCCACATAAACTCGTCATCATCCCGTACACCGGACAACATCAACTTTCTTTGCCGTCGATGCCGAGGTTAACAGCCCTCGGCTACAATCCACACGATGGCGCCGAGACCGAGGTGACATCTACGTGATCATATTAACGATTTGGAAAAGTTTTACTGGTGTGGTAGTGGGTTTGTGAGTGCATACTTTTTTTAGATGATGATAACTTTTCCTAATGTAAATGAATATTACACGTATATACGTGTTTTTAATGAGATTTTAGTGAGATTAGAGATATGTAACTGGTTTCCGTCTCTTAGCATAATTGTTAGGGTACGCATTTACAGGAGTGTGAGCGTGGTGTTACGTATGGTGGTGTTTGTGTGTGTGCGTCCACCATGTAATTGGAAAAGAAAAAAATGTTGATTTGCTAATGGAAATAAGTCTACTTTGCCTCCTTCAACTCATGTGCCTGGTTGAAAATATCGCACCCCTCAAGTGCAAAACAGGGTATATAACCCATCCCCTAACTTTTCAAACCGTTGCAAATCGATTCCCCCGACGGTTTCGAAGGCGTTTTCGTCCTACGTGTTACTTACATGGCGGGTCGACTTGTCTTCATCCAATGTGGCATCGATGTGGCACTTACATGGCACTAAAATAAAAACAAACCTAAATAAAAAAATAAATTTTGAACCCACGTGTCAGTTACCTAACTCCTCCCTCTTTATCGTCGACGATGAGTGAGATTGGGAGAGTGGCGGGGTGGCAGGAGCAGCAGGACGGCGGGAGCGGAGAAACAGTAGTGGTGAGGAAGCCTCGCTGCCGCCTCCTCTCCTCCCTGTCCGCCACCGTCTCCCCTCCTGCGCCCTTCCTCCACCGCCTCATCCCCGTCCTCGCCTCCTCCGGCCTCGCCGCCGCCTCCTCTCCTCCCTCCCCACCACCTCCTCCCTCCCGCACTCCTCCGCCGTGCTCTGTCTCGCCGCTGTTGCCTTCCACCTGAGAGAGAGAGAGGGGTTAAAGAGGGAGGTGAAAATTAAAGGTAGCTGACACATGGACCTGAAATTTATTTTTATTGTTTTACTTACTGACATGTGGGTCCCATTTAAGGTCTATTTTTATTTTAGCGCCACATGGTATAAAGACCAAGTCAACCTGCCATGTAAGTGCCACGCAGGACGAAACCGCCTGGGGAGTCGATTTGCTACGGTTTTAAAAGTTGGGGAATGGGTTATACTCGGTTTTACGGTTGAAGGATGCGATTCAACCACGGGCATAAGTAGAGGAAAGAAAATAGGCTTATTCCTTTGCTAATTGCCTGGGGTTCACCAAAGAAAAGGCTGTGGTATCCGTGTATCACAAATCAATCCAGTCCAACAAAATTAATGGGCCAAAACGGGAAGATGTAAGACTCGAGATAAGTTTGGCGGCCCAAAGTTAGTGGCGTCATGTACTGTAGATGGTAAGTTTGAGCGCCATATGCTCTGTTTGGAGCACTGAATTTCTTTGGATTCCTGCAAAAGTAGAATGTTCAAAAAAGAAGTCTTATGTAATATTTATGGAACTCATATTTTCAATTTCATGATCCTCATTAATTCCAAACAGGGACTAACTAATAAAAAAAAAAAGTCCATTTGGTCTCTCAAGTTGTAAACAATCATTCACCCAGATATTACCACTAGCTTGGTGTTTTATTTTGTCTACTTGAGTAATTTTGAGCAATAAACAGTGACTAAAGTGAGAACTTGAGGGCCGAGTTGGCTGCTTAAGGGGGGAATATGGTTTCAGGAGATTATACTGTTTGATACACTCTCTTATTTTTAATATGGTGTAAAGATAGAAAAGACTGCCATACTCATTTCGATAAATCTGTCACATCAACTATTTTTTCTGTCTGAAATAACTTCCAACACTCTTGTTGCTTCTGAGACTCCTCCAATTTAACGATCTGGGCTGTATTCTCAATTTGTCGTCTCCTGGTTGGATCGGCTGATGATTGTTCTATATATTTGGAAGCTGCATATAAAAGCACAACCACCAACTTTTGTTTTTGGCAAGAACCGTGATCCCTGTCATCTTCTGATCACTGGTCAGTAGACTACGAGAGTAAAACTCATGAAGAACAACATGACAAGAACAGCACATTCTCACAAGTCACAACCAGTGCAGCTAGCTTGAGCTTACCCCACAGCATTCTTGAATTTAAGGAAGAACACTGCTGCTACCAGTTAGCAATAAGAAATCTAATTAAGCCCATGACATAAAATCCGCAGGAAAAAAATAATAAGCTGATTGCTTTGGTGATAATTTCTACAGTGCTAGTCTGATAAATGACTGTTTGAGATTAACTCCCTTCAGTAATAATGCTCATGCAACCATGCAAAACTTTATGCACAGTAGTGGCTCACACTGTGACACATGACACACATCCTCCAGATCGACCACCACTAACGTGTAATCTTATTGTCGTGTCATGGATTCCAGTTGCTGGTCACTACATGATCTGTGAAAAAAAAAAAGGGAATCTAGAGCTACATCTTATCCTATGTCAAGCCTGTCTGCCAAGATGATCAGCATATTAACCACATTCTTCTTCTCCTCTGCTTGACTGCCTCAGCTGAATTACAGATCACAGAGCATATGCCCAGCAATAATTCAAGAAGCATATGCAGATATGCTCTCTCACCTCGTCTCTCAAAAGCAAAGGATTTTATTTCATGAACGGTAGAGCGCCAAGGGCGCTATCAATCAGCCACAATTAAAGGAGCAGAAGGACATTTGGGCCATCCTTTCTGGGTGATACCCGAGAAACCAACCACCACCTTTCCGGTGCAGATTCTAACAGCAAGAACAACATATCAGAAGTAGGAGTAAAAGAGGATGCATATAGGAAGCTGCTGCTTTCCTCTGATTTGAAGGCCACTTTAATATGTCTGTTGGTAGATCAATTATCTTTGCTTCCTTACATATGGGCCGGCTAATTGGTTTGCAAGATCTGCTTTAGTACCACAGATGACTTGGATATAAAACGTGCATAATAATGCCTTAATCTAGTATTAATTATGGAGATTATAATGCCTAGATGATTACACTAGTTTCATTTGATTAGGTAGCTTGTGGCAGAAAGATTGCTAGCTACATTAATTCTCGATTCATATTGCAGGATATTGTGATCTGGGGCATCATTCAGATCTTGATCTTAAATCAAGTAAAATAAAATGCTGTCAGAGATTACTGTTCAACTTATAATCAACCTTTATATCACAAACTAGGAAGGTAGCCCGCGCATTCGCGCGGGCATGCGTCATATGCTAAGTTTAAGATAGTTATAAAAGCTAAATATTAACCGGAGAACATCTGCCACGATTTCTCCATACATTTTTTTATCAGCATTAATTGTTTTATAATTTTTTAACCTATTAGCTTTATATTATACTAGCATATTTTTATATTCTTCCTCATCATTTGAAAAGAAGGTAGACTTATTTTCTTTAGAAAACATATCATCGGAAGTAAAAGTAAGGTGTTTTTTAATTGCATATATATTATGATAGTTTATTATGGGATAAATTGGGGACTAATAGGAAGAAAATGAGAAGAGCAGGGAGACAGAGAAGATAGGGACGGTCAACAAAAGAATATATTGGAACCGTGAGGGTATCATTGCATGTTTTATTTAGTGGAGACACATTTTTTATTAAGTACTTTGTATACTTAAATTATACTACCAAATTTTAGTAGTATATAAATATTTTTCGTCTTTTAAATTTGATGAGTGTAGTTGGTTATTTGACACATTGAAAAAATAGACTCAAAAAACACGTAATAGACACATTGAAAATACGTAGAGCATCGTTATCATTGTTATCATGGATCTAATTTAGCTACATATATATTTCTAGATTAATACAGAATAGCACATTTGATATCGTATTTATTGAAAAAAAATTCATCACTGTCTTGATGCATAGCATATCATTTCTATAATTAAAATATAGTTAACATAGGTCTTAACTTATTAATCTAATCACACATATTATAAATATTCAAACCAGTTGGAAATTAGATGCACAGTTAAGCAGTTATATTTATTTGAAAACTAGCATGGTGGCCCGCGCAGATTACGCGGTTAGCATCATTATATTTTCTCACGTATAATAGCATATATGTTTTCTCATTTTATTATTAAAATATATTACAATGACAACATAATTTTAAATTTTGCAATAACTTTACGAAACTACTAATGTGTAATAACTACTCTAGTCTCCTCTTCTAATATTCCTTATTTTTTAATTCTGAATTTCAGCTATTTCTAAATTGTATTTCTATATGGACTCTGCTTTTTCTTTTTCTTATATTAATGTGAGAATTTCTAGGCCATGAGAGCGAACGTGGAGGCTCTTTTTTGTTCCGAATTTTAGTTAGTTTTAAATTCCAATATGGACTCTATACTCTACTTCTAATATTTCTTATTTTTTTATTTCCAAATTTCTATTTTTTTTCTTAATTGTATGGAGGCTCCTTTTTGTTCCGAATTTTAGTTAGTTTTAAATTCCAATATGGACTCTATACTCTACTTCTAATATTTCTTATTTTTTTATTTCCAAATTTCTATTTTTTTCTTAATTGTATGGAGGCTCCTTTTTGTTCCGAATTTTAGTTAGTTTTAAATT